CCCTAGGAGGAGGCTGAGGACGATGATTAGTTGGTAAGTTCATTGCTAGCCAGTATCATGATTTAACAGTATATATGTCATCTTCATTATAGTGCCAACCCAACAAATCTGCTCTTGCAGTTTATCCTCAATAATTTGTCAATATCTGCATCGGCCACAAGTTCTCTTATTTTTGTCTCATTCCATCCATTACGCATAACATTCAAACATTGAGATACTTTAAAATCTTTTATAATATCTTTTTCTCTTAAAGTTATATGATAATTTTATGTTTAAATAAAAATAACTTTTTTAATAAAGTAGTATCCTTTTTATCGATATAAATTAGTATATATTTTCTTTAAAACATTATTCTTATTTTTTTCTTATTATAAACTTATATTTTAATCTATTTTTTCTTGACAAAAAAAAATCAATTTACAAATATCTAAATCCAAAATAGTTTTTATTTTATGTTCTGTATCTTTTTTTTTCTTCTTAATTTGTTCCAGTTTTTTTCTATTCATTGTTTTCTTAAAAATCTTTAAATCTTTTTAATCTATTTATAAATGGCTAAATCTAAGATTGTTTGAGGAAAATTGGAAACATATCTTATAAATAGATTTTATTTTGAAAACTACACTAAGACTCTTAATTATAAAAATAAAAATAAATATATAAAAGTAAATTTTATTTGAAAACAAGGACACATGACTTTGAAATTTAATGTTTTTTCTTTGTTTTTGAAACTTCTGATTTTCAATACTTTTATTAATCACTAAAATTTACTTATTTTATTAAAAGTAAAAGTTTGTTTAGAAAATAAAAAAAAAGTTATCAAGTTATTAATTTTAAAACATTAAATAATTAATTTTTGGCTCAAATAAAATGATTATAATAGTTGAAAAAAATGATTATAATATTAATAATCTCAAATATCTTTATTTATTTATTAAAATGTGTAATATCTAATCTAAAATCAGGTTAAAATGATCTTATTACATATAAATAAGTGTATTTTAAAAAAAAAGTATATTTTTAAAATTTAAAGTGAAGTGAAAAATCAAAAGAATGTACTAGCATCTTTGGATTAAAGCATTTTTGGATTACAACATCTTTATATTTTGGTGCAGTTTAGATAAAAGATAATTGATAGATTAGCTGTGATTTTCATTAAGAAAATAATTGATATATTAGATGTAATTTTCATCCAACAGTGAAATGAGTAAAACAACTTGTGATCTCATATATGTAGGTTTTATGATTGATTTTGCAGGTTTTCAGATTGTTTTTCAAAAATATAACATAGCCCATGAGTCAGTCCACAAACCTGCAAAATCTAATATAACATAGCCCATGGCTAAATCTAAGATTGTTTGAGGAAAATTGGAAACATATCTTATAAATAGATTTTATTTTGAAAACTACACTAAGACTCTTAATTATAAAAGTAAAAATAAATATATAAAAGTAAATTTTATTTGAAAACAAGGACACATGACTTTGAAATTTAATGTTTTTTCTTTGTTTTTGAAACTTCTGATTTTCAATACTTTTATTAATCACTAAAATTTACTTATTTTATTAAAAGTAAAAGTTTGTTTAGAAAATAAAAAAAAAGTTATCAAGTTATTAATTTTAAAACATTAAATAATTAATTTTTGGCTCAAATAAAATGATTATAATAGTTGAAAAAAATGATTATAATATTAATAATCTCAAATATCTTTATTTATTTATTAAAATGTGTAATATCTAATCTAAAATCAGGTTAAAATGATCTTATTACATATAAATAAGTGTATTTTAAAAAAAAAACAGTATATTTTTAAAATTTAAAGTGAAGTGAAAAATCAAAAGAATGTACTAGCATCTTTGGATTAAAGCATTTTTGGATTACAACATCTTTATATTTTGGTGCAGTTTAGATAAAAGATAATTGATAGATTAGCTGTGATTTTCATTAAGAAAATAATTGATATATTAGATGTAATTTTCATCCAACAGTGAAATGAGTAAAACAACTTGTGATCTCATATATGTAGGTTTTATGATTGATTTTGCAGGTTTTCAGATTGTTTTTCAAAAATATAACATAGCCCATGAGTCAGTCCACAAACCCGCTAAATAAAAGAAGAGCGGGCTTGGAATTAGTATTAGTTATCCGCAACCTGCAGCGGGTCGATCCGCACATACACAAAAAATTAGAACTCGGAGCGAACAAGCTCGTGCGGATGCAGGCCAGCCCGTTGATATTTTTATGATAAAGTTAACAAGTTGTGTAAAGTAAAGTAAATTTCCAAAAATAATTTCTCCTATTAACATTACAAATACTTGGAACAATAGGATAATATTTTTATATTATTTGAATCGTGAAAGATTTAGTAAATAAGTAGTCTAATGTCATGTAAATCCCAAAAAATAGTTCTTGCTATTAGCATTTTTAAATCAAAATACTCGAACTATGAATAGGTAGAATATGTTTCAACGCTCTGTCTAAATACACATTATATATTAACTCATTTGTGTTAACTTGAGCACAAAATATACATACGACATCTAAGTCTAAAGTTTGTAACCCATTTGTGTTAAGAGTTATTAGTAGCTTGATTTAACAACATATTCGTTTATTTCAAAAATTTATAATTGTAAATCCTAAATTATTAACCATTAGACTAAATCAGATTAGATTTATCATATAGTTCAATTTGGATTCGAAAAGTTAGTTGGAGGGTATGAACAATGATGAATGCTGCAAAAACATATGACTTTCAAACCTCAACAATAACAATAACAACATGAAAGAATAAAGGGTTGGCTGTCGCCAGCCCCACAAACTATACACTGTCTACTTAAAACTCCGTAAACTATCGACCTCTACATATTTCCACCCAAACAATTATTTTCTGCCTATTCCCCCAAATTCAATTAGAAATTAAAATCGCGACCAATTTACGAAATCGCGTTTTGGGTAGATTGCGTTTTAAGGGGGAGGGGGGGGGGGGGGGGGGGGGGGGGGGGGGGGGGGGGGGGGGGGGAATTATGCAGAAAACAATTTTTTTTGGGTAGAAATATGCGAAAGTGTAGTCTAGGGGGGGAGGGGGAATATGCAGAATTTATTAAGTTCAGGGGGTTTAGCGCAGTCAATTTAATTTTTAAGTTTTTCAAAATATTTAATACATGATTAGCTTAATTATATCCACAATATATATTTGTGTAATAGAATAAATATATATTTTATTAAAAGTGGTAGCAATATGACATCACAATTAAAAAACAAAACTAATATTAGTTATTATACATACATAAACATATTATTCTATTATTTTAAATATTTTGATTTGAAATACTAATAGAGAAAAACTATTTTTTGGGATAAAACTATTTTTTGGGATATACTCGATATCATAGGACTTATTTACTTGACATTAAAAATCTTAACTAATGCAAGTTTATCATTCTAATGGTTCGAGTATTTTCATTATAAATCCCTGAAATAAACGAATGTGTTGTTAAATCAGACCATTAATAACTCATAACACAGATAAGTTAGAGATTTCAGACTTAAATGTATTTACCTCTTGTGTTTAAATTAACACATATGAGTAGTGAGTGGTTAGACAGAGAGTTTAAACCTCTTCTACACCATTCATGGTTCGAGTATTTTTATTTAAACTGCTAATAGGAGGATTGCATGAAATATATTTTGAGATTTACTTAACATTACACAACTTATTTATTTGATTTGATACGATTTAATTAATATATTTATTATCCTATTGTTCCACGTATATTTGAAGTGTTAATAAGAGAAACTATTTTTTAAATTTACTTTACTATACACAATTGATTTACTTTACACGTATTTTATTTGAAATGCTAGTAGAAAGAAGTGTTATTATACAAATATATATTATGGATATAATTTAGCTAATAATGTGTTAAATATTTTGAAAAACTTAAAAGTTAAATTGACTGCGCTCAGCCCCCTGAGCTTAATAAATTCTGCATATTCCCCCCTAGACTACACTTCCGTATATTCTCATCCAAAAAAATTGTTTTATGCATATTTCTCCCAAAACGCAATCTAACCAAAACGCGATTTCGTAAATTGATCGCGATTTTAATTTCTAATTGAATTTGGAGAAATAGGCAGAAAAACAATTGTTTGGGTGAGAATATGCAGAGGTCGGTAGTTTGGGAGGTTTTAAGTAGTCAATGTATAGTTTGGGGGGCTGACGGCAGCCAACCCAAGAATAAACTTGTAAAAATAATTCTTTATATTATGACTTCAAATCAAAATATTCAGACAATATAATGATATGTTTATAGATGTGACATACTATACTGATGTTAGTTTTTTTTTCAAAATAAATCATATCATTGTATTGCTACCATTTTTTCATATTAATATATATTTTCTGTTGATATACAAATATATATTGTAGACATAAATAAGATAATCATGTGTTAGATATTTTTCTTTTTTAATAGAATTATATCTTACCCTTTTGACATTTTCCTTTCTTAATAAAATTATATCTTATTCTATTTTTTTATTTTCCTTTATTTTTTCCAATTTTCATTTTTACTTATTTTGAATAAAATTATATCTATATATTATAGCCTGTAGCTTTTCTTCTTAATTTGTTCCAGTATTTTCTTTTTACTGTTTTTCTAAATAAACTTAAATTTTAATCTGTTTATAAATGTCTAAAAAGATATCCTCTTAATCTATATATGTTAGTCTTATATATCCTTTTCTTAATTTGTTCTAGTTTGCTATTCCTTTACAGCTTTTTTGAATAAATATATATAGTATATGTTAGTCTTATATATTTTTTTCTTACTTTGTTCTAGTTTTTCTTTTTACCTTTTTTTTGACATTTTTCCTTTTTATTGATAGATTAGCTGTATTTTTCATTAAGAAAATATTAGCTGTAATCTAAAGATGCTATATTTTTGTACCTTATATAAACCCTTGCAAACTCTTTACTCACTCCACCGCAAATTAATCAAAAATGGCAAACCAAACATTCTTCTACTGTTCTCTATTGGCCATCGTCATCTTCTTGGCTCCCTCTTCTTCAGCTCAGAAAACCATAACCGTCGAGCTAATCCACCGTGACTCTCCCCGTTCTCCACTCTACAACCCTCTCCACACCGTCTCTGACCGTCTCAACGCCGCTTTCCTCCATTCAATCTCCCGTTCCCGCTATTTCTCAACCAAAACCAATCTCAAATCCGGTATAGTCGGAGCCGGTGGTGCATACTTCATGACCGTTTCAATCGGTACTCCACCAATGAAAGTCCTGGCCATCGCCGACACAGGAAGTGATCTAACTTGGATCCAGTGCAAACCATGTCAACAATGCTACAAACAAGACGGTCCAATCTTCGACAAGAGCAAGTCTTCGACGTACAAAACCGAACCTTGCAACTCCAAAGCTTGCAACGAGTTATCCGAAGATATAGAAGGATGCGACAGATCGAAAAACATCTGTAAATACAATTACCCTTATGTAGACAATTCGTTCTCCAATGGAGATGTTGCAACCGAAACAGTATCCATTGGCTCTTCCTCTGTTTCTTTCCCCGGTACAATCTTCGGTTGCGGTTACAACAACGTCGGTACGTTCCCAGATACCGGATCAGGACTCGTCGGCCTAGGAGGCGGTCCGTTATCTTTAATTTCCCAGCTCGGTTCTTCGATAGGGAAAAAATTCTCGTATTGCTTGCCCCACTCATTTACATCAAACGGCACAGGCTTCCTAAACCTAGGAGCCAACTCGATACCTTCCAACCCAAGCAAAGGTTCCGTTGTGGTCACTACGCCGTTAGTCGCCGGAAACCCAGACACTTTCTATTACTTAACTCTCGAAGCAATCACCGTCGGCCAAACCAAGCTTCCGTACACCAGAGGAGGACGATCCGGTGGGGAATCAAAGAAGACAACCCCCGGGAACATGATAATCGATTCCGGAACTACACTTACGCTACTCGATTCCAGATTTTACGATGGTTTTGGTGCGGCGGTGGAAAAATCTGTGACCGGAGCTAAGCGTGCGAGCGATCCACAGGGGGGTTTACCTCTGTGTTTCAAAACCGTAGGCAAAGCGGTCGGTTTTCCGGCGATAACAATGCATTTCACGGGAGCCGACGTGAAGCTGAGCCGGATCAATGCGTTCCTGAAAACGGGTGAAGACACGGTGTGCTTGAGTATGGTTCCGTCACCTGATGGCGTCGGTATGTACGGGAATTTGGCTCAGATGGGTTTTCTTGTCGGGTACGACTTGGAGACTAGAACGGTGTCGTTTCAACACAGGGACTGCGCTCGTCCCTTGTGAAGCACACCGGTGTAGTTAAGCCTTTGAGTAATATGATGATATGCATAATTAATGGAATTTAATAAGAATGATTAAAAATATCTCTAATTATTTTCTAATTTATGCTATTAAAAGAGAAACACTGTACTTTAAAATGTCTAAAAATTGTTATGATATTTACTAAATATGCTATTATATTTGCTAGAAAATTTCAGTAATTTATTAAGGGTAATATCGTCTAATTACAAATACACAAAATGATGTGGCATTTGGGGGTGAGTACAAAAACCATACCGAACCGAAAAAAGTGATATTGTTTTGGTTATGGTTAAACCTAAAAATCCATTTGGCCATCATTTTTTATAGTTTTGGTTTATGTTTGGTTTGGTTAAAAACTGTCAAAACGAAGAGTTTTTTAGTTTTTAAACTAAATTTTAAATAATTTATATTTTCCTAGTTTCTTAATTTAGTTTAAGTACATATTTTATTATTGGGCTTAATTATCTTTGTAACTTACTAACTTAACTCATAAATTTTAAATATAATATTTATAAAAAATATTTACATATAAATAATAAAGTAAACCTTAAATTTTCAATAAAAAACGTGATTAACTCTTTTTTCTTCACATTAAAGTCTTCTAGTTTTAATTCCAAGCTTATAAGTATTAAATTTTAATCTAGCTTTGCTTATTATTTTATAATTATTGATTATGAAAGATTTGATCATTTGTTTGTTTCCGTGCTTTGAAATCTGTCTTATTGATGGATTTTTTTTATGATTTAGATTCTATTTTTTGAACTTATTGTTTTATTTGACTCATATCTATTTGTTGAACCAGAAAATCACCACTAGGGTTTGATTAACAGTTGTGGGTTTCAGAGAATAAGATCTTTTTATTGATAGCAAGAAAGCGTAGCGATTACAAAGAAAAAGTATAACCGAGAGGTTATGCTGAAGTAAAAAGAAGGTTGGCGAAGTAAACTAGAAAGCGTTGGAGTCTCTGGTTTTAGCTCTGCTGCTCTCTAGATTGTCTGAGTTGTTCTTTCTGACTTCGAGACCTTTGTATTTATAGGAATGGGAGGTCGGTTGCTCCGAACTCCTTTTCCTTTTTGCATTCTTGTATATTTCCATATCACGGATATGGAAATATCCTTTATTCTCCGAGAAGTAAGGAAATTCTCCTTTATCCTTTGGACTAATCCGATGTTTCCTTTCTTCCATAATTATCTTTTAAGAGTTTTCCTTTAATCCGAGCTAGGTCGGCACGGTCTTCCTGGTCGTGATGGATTTAGGTTATTGCGGGTAAGGCCTTTTATGAAATATGCTCATTTCTTCTATAACAGTCAGTCCCCACCCCCCCCCCCCCCCCCCCCCCCCCCCCTAGTTCGGCAAGACTGGTTGTAAATCAGGTCGGCGGACTTCATGAAGTTATAGATGGGTCTGACCTCGCAATAACTGTCTGTTCGTTTAGAGCGTTGCTTTTGTGATAGCCAGATAGGTTAGTTTTTAAGCGAATTCGCCATGTGGCGCTTTTATTTATTAAATACTCCCACCCATTAGGGTTTCTGCTCTTAGCGGGAAATGCGAAGGGTTCGCCATACAGCGAGATTGTAAAAATCTTGACACGCGTCTTCTTAGGAAACTGTTGATATTTCTTTCTAATTTTATTTACTTTACTTTTACCTCTTCATCTTCTTGCTTTTTAGAAAATCTTCGTATCCTTTGCCGATTTCTGCAGCAATCTTCTATAGCGATTCACCTATTTTTTCTTTGCTCTCTTTGTTTCGTTCAAAAATTTCAAAGATGTCTGCTGCTTCTTCGCATTCTTCTTTCGATGATGATGAGATTTGTCTCCCCGACTGCGCCAAGCGGGCCTGGATTAGTCCAGTTGCTTTTACTTCTTCCATTTCTGAGGGCTCTTCAGACTATCGGGATGAGATTCCTTCGGACCATCCTGATGTGGACTCCGAAGTGGATTTGGATGGTCCTGGGCCTTCAAGTTTTGAATCGGAGATCAGGGTCGAGGGTCTCCCTGAGAAGATTGCAATGTCGCCGCACAGGACCGGCGTTAAGGATGGAAGGACTTGGATGACCGCGGAAAAGCTTGAGGAGCTTCGTTTGAAGTGCGGTTTTCCCGACGAGGTCAAACTGCTGCTCCCTCAAGTTCACGAAAGAGTGACCACACCCCAGAGGGTTATTTTTGTTTATACGAGTGTCATTTCGCGGAGTTCGGCCTTCAGTTCCCGATCTCGTTGCTTCTCCGTTATTGCGAACAGAGGAAGATGCCGTTGGCGCAGCTTACCCATGCTGTAATCCATCACTTCAATAGTTTGGCAGCGGTGGCTCGTGCAGCTATGGTTCCTTTCAACTAGGATATTTTCGAAAGGGTGTCCATCTTGAAGAAAAGAAGGGTGAATTGTGGCGGATGGCGCCATTTTTACACCATGATGAAGGAGGGGATCATAGGTGGTGATCCGACGAGCAAGGTCTACGAGTGGGACCGGTATTTCTTTTTTGTGAAGGTTAATGAAGCATCCATTGGTGGTTCCGATCTTACCCTCTTCAGAACTTGGAGATCAGCGCCATGTAAGGAAAATATTGATTTTTTTGATTTTTTATCATGTCGATGACTTGCTGAGTACTAATACGTTTTCGTCATTGTAGTGGAACTACGACTGGGAGAGGACCCAACCGGGTTTGACGAAGACGTCAAGAGGCTGCACGACCTGAGTTGGCAGTTTTGGGCCGAAAAGGAGAAGAAGGGGGCTGCTCGTCAGAAGGCGGTTAAGCCTGCCGAGAAGAAGGCCAAACAATCGAAAGCAGGTATATTGACTGGTTGGCGACTTTATTGACATATTTATTATTTTAGCTCCATGAGGGATCTCGCAACCGAAGCCTGCAGAGGCTGGTCGGAGAAAGAGGAAGGCGACTTCGGCCGACATGCTCGTGAGCGTTTCTGCAAAGAGGAAGAAGACTTCCCAGGATCCACCTAGCTTGGTGGATTCGGATGATGCCGAAGTGGCCGCTGAGTCCGAGACTCTGGCGAGGTAAATTTTTTTGGCTTCGCGTGTTATTGTATTATGCCGAAGAGATTTCTGATGCTATATTGCTTTCGTATTCCCCCCCCCCCCCCCCCACGTTTTAAATTTTTTTTTTAATGTTTCTCTAGGGCGGCAGCGCTGGAGAGATTGAGATGGATGCGGGCTGAGAAAGCCGCAAAGGATTCGCAGGGTGAGGCGTCCTATGCTCTCGCCTCTCAAGTCGCGGATAGAGAGGGTACGTCGGATGCTGCCGGGAGCCGTCGCGAGGTTGTGTCTCCTTTAGTCATGTGGACGTTCGTTCACCGCCCTGGACGGGTGTGTCTCAAAGTCCTGAGACACATGTCACAGAAGATGTTGGTTGGGAGAGGACCGAGGAGCCTGGCACAACTTATTCTGAAGGGCCGACCCCTCCCGAGGTTGCCCCGGACACGGAAGATGCCGGTCCTTGTGCTCCTGAGGAGGCTGCTCCTTCTCAAAAGGATGCCGGCACATAAGGCGTCAATTCAAACGCTCCGGCCGAACCTAAGCAGGAAGAGGAGTTTCTATTATTATAATCCTCATCATCTTTGCATGAGGTGGGACAGGAATTCTCCGGCGATGCTTAATCGCGAGTTTGCCGCGGATTTGATCTGGAAGTACCGGGAGAAGCCGCGATGGGGCAAGCCACTTCGCGAGTTGAAGCTGATGAATTCGATCTCCTCGGCAAGCCAATTGATAGCTCAGGTAAATTTATTTATCCGATGATTGTGTTGTTTCACCTTTTTCCTGTCTTTGGTGCGTTTCTGATAGTATGTTGCAATACAGGGTCTGGAAAAGTATATGTCCGCGTTTGCTGCGTACGATGATAACTGGTGCGCGGAGGAAGCGAATGTAAACGCTGCGTGCGCCGAGATGAAGGAGCTTAAAAAGGCGGAAGAAGAGAATCGGCTTCTCAAAGAAAAGTGTTCTTAACTTGAAGGCATTGTTGACACTTTTAAAAGCGAGGTGTCCGAAGCCAGTCGACTTTGCAAACAAGTCGCCACTCTCCAAGCTCAAAATGAGCTTCTCGAAAGGTGGAATGAGGAGAACCAGCAAGGATTTCTTGCCGAGAAGGAGGGGCTCCAAAAGGCTTGTGAGGCAGCTGCTCGAGATTCTGCTAACAAAATTTTTGATGGCATGTCTGCTTGGTTCAAGCCCGTTTAAATCGGATTCAAGTCTCGCTAATTCAGCGCGAAGAGGTTGAAGCGGCTCTCGTTGGCATGGAGAAGAGTGGTCATATGGTGGCTTTCTTAAAGAAGATGCAAGAGAAAGGGTGGAAGCTTCCTTCCGGGACCTTTCCATCTTTTGAGAGGGAGTTCGCCAAGTGGAAGGCAGCCAGCGACGCCATTGACGAAATAGTCGTTACGAGCGACGACCTCAATCTCCCGAGTAGATCGGATATTGACGGGCTATGTAAATAAGTCCGATGGGATTTTTTTATTGTATTTATTCTTTTGTAAGAATTTTTTTTTAAAAAATAGCTTATTATTCCCTTAATGAAAATGTTTTGTGATTGCTTTTTATTGTTTTTCATTTTTTTGGAACTTTTTAGTTCAAAACTGGAAGCAGGATTCCTTTGCCCGTCTTATACCAAACGACGATCAAGATCGAATACCAATTTTTCAGGATTCACTTTGGCCCAAAAGGTATGATCGAGGGTCGTGCGAGTATTGTCCTCGTCTTTCTTCTTATCAGCTTCGGAAGTACTTAAATTGGACCGAAGCATCAAAGGAGTGGTGATCAGCCACTTATTTTGTTTATTTGTGCTTGGTTTTTCGAGTTAAATGTTTGGTCAGAACATCGATTCAGCAAGATGCATTTGCATAAAGAAATTTGACCCTATACGCCGAGCTGATTTTTCTGAAATAAAAATTTATTAGATTTACAGCTGCACCCGGAGGTTGCCTACATACCCGAATTGGGATCAAGTCATTCATAGTTCATTACAAGTATTGAATG